GGAGTTTAATGCAGAGAAGTGTGAGGTGATTCACTTTGGAAGGAGTAACAGGAATACAGAGTGCTGGCCTAATGGTAAGATTCTTGGTAGTGTGGATGAGCAGAGAGATCTCGGTGTCCATGTGCATCGATCCCTGAAAGTTGCCACCCAGCTTGATAGGGTTGTTAAGAAGGCGTACGGTGTGTTAGGTTTTATTGATAGAGGGATTGAGTTTCAGAGCCATGAGGTCATGTTGCAGCTGTACAAAACTCTGGTGCGGCCGCGCTTGGAGTATTGCGTACAGTTCTGGTCGCCACATTATAGGAAGGATGTGGAAGCATTGGAAAGGGTGCAGAGGAGATTTACCAGGATGTTGCCTGGTATGGAGGGAAGGTCTTATGAGGAAAGGCTGAGGGACTTGAGGCTGTTTTCGTTAGAGAGAAGAAGGTTAAGAGGTGACTTAATACAGACATACAAGATGATCAGAGGATTAGATAGGGTGGACAGTGGGAGCCTTTTTCCTCGGATGGTGATGGCTAGCACGAGGGGACGTAGCTTTAAATTGAGGGGTGATAGATATAGGACAGATGTCAGAGGTAGGTTCTTTACTCAGAGAGTAGTAAGGGCGTGGAATGCCCTGCCTGCAACAGTAGTAGACTCGCCAACTTTAAGGGCATTTAAATGGTCATTGGATAAACATATGGATGATAATGGAATAGTGTAGATTAGATGGGCTTCAGATTGGTTTCACAGGTCGGCACATCGAGGGCCGAAGGGCCTGTACTGCGCTGTAATGTTCTATGTTCTATATCCAAACGTATCCTCTTTGGGTAGAAAATGGAAGACAACTATTCGAAATTCACCTACTATAGTTTTGTCGACTTAATTCAGCAAGATTTTTTGTAGTTTGATGCTCCTGCTGATATAATTTAGTATACCATTAATCTCTGCATTCCACTCTTCATGTATATAGAATTGGACAATGGTCAGAACTCAATGACACATGCAGTTCAGTGTTAAGCTCCTGTTGCTGGAGCTCTGTGTCCACAAACTCTGACATTAAGAGACATAAAAGCGTTCACACTTCCATTTGCTGTCTATACTATGTTAGCATTATGTATATAGGAAGCTATCCAATATAGGTGCAAGTTCAGCCCAATACATTGATCAACATCCATTAGACACAATTGGGTATAATTAATTTTGAAGTCTCGAGCTTGTACTGACTACAGGAAACAACGAAGCTGTTCCTTATGGGTAATCAAAGCTAGTTTAAATAAGTTGTGGCTATGTTTTATGCAAGAATGAAGCATTCATGATTTAAAAACAGATGTTACACTTTGCACAGTAATTAAATTCTTTGGCAGATGTTTAATCTATGGGAAACAAATTTTTTTTGCAACTTACATATTACATGGATCACTGTTATAAAGCACACTAAAAAGCAACATTTGCCAAATGAATTGCAAAATTTCACTTCATTCCTTAGCTTTGGCAAGGACAACGCATGTGTTTGTTTCTGGACTCAGTTGTCCAAGGGACAAACATGACTGGTTTTACAACTGGATCTAGCCAACACGGCTTCCCTTTCTTTTGTATGCTTGTCCTGCAAAGAGCAAGACCATGTGACATTTGTGGGGTGACAGTGTCTTAAGTACTGATCCAATAACCTACAGACATAAACAGAAAAGTTTAGCACATGGACTGTAGCAGTTCAAGATGCTGCTCATCACCACCTTCTCATGGACAATTAGAGAGGAGCAATAAAAGACACTAAAAATGGGATACAATTCGTGAAAGAAATAATATATTCTCAGATGCCCATCTTAGAAGATGGAGACTAGCATTCACATCAAAAATCAAGAAATCTGAATAAACCAGAAAAGACTTCAGACTAAATGAAGAGCCTGATAAAGATTTTTCACATCCTTGTTTGACCTCACCTGATTGACCTCACTCAAATAGATAGGCTGAAGACTTCAACTTAAGATTTTGGTGGTGAATAATCACACACAAGCAGCAAAGAATCAAGAGATAACAAGGTGTAGAGCTGGATGAACACAGCAGGCCAAGCAGCATCAGAGGAGCAGGAAAGCTGACGTTTCGGGTCTGGACCCTTCTTCAGAAATGGGGGAGGGGAAGGGGACTCTGAAATAAATAGAAAAAAAAAAGAGAGAGGGGAAGGCAGATGGAAGGTGGATAAAGGAGCAGATAGGTGGAGAGGAGACGGACAGGTCAAGGAGGTGGGGATGGAGGCTAGTAGGTAGGAGATGGGGGTGGGGGATGGTCAGTGAGGTGGGAAGAGCAGATAGGTGGGAGAAAAGACAAACAGGTCAAGGAGGCAGGGGACGAGCTGGGCTGGTTTTGGGATGAGGTCCGGGGGGGTGGGGAGATTTTGAAGCTTGAAGTCCACATTGATACCTTTGGGCTGCAGGGTTCCCAAGCAAAATATGAAGTGCTGTTCCCGCAGCCTTTGGGTGGCATCGTTGTTGCACTGGAGGCGGCCCGGGATGAACACGTCGTCCACGGAGTGGGAGGGGGGAGTTGAAGTGGTTCGCAACTGGGAGGTGCAGTCGTTTGTCACGAACCGAGCGTAGGTGTTCCACAAAGCGGTCTCCAAGCCTCCGCTTGGTTTCCCCAATGTAGAGGAGGCCACAACGGGAACAGCAGATACAATATACCTTCCTCTCCCGCAGGCCCGAACAGTCCCCCTCCACTGATACCCTTATCCGCTTAGCTGAACTCGCCTTCACCCTTAACTTCTCCGTCAACTCCTCCCACTTCCTACAGACAAAGGGGGTGGCCATGGGTACCCGCATGGGCCCAAGCTATGCCTGCCTCTGTGTAGGATACGGGGAACAATCCCTCTTCCGCAGCTACACTAGCCCGATCCCCCATCTCTTCCTCCATTATATCGATGACTGTATCGGCACCACCTCGTGCTCCCATGAGGAGCTCGAACAGTTCAGCCACTTCACTAACACCTTCCACCCCAACCATCTCAGATACCTCTCCTTCCTGGAACTGTTTCCATCTCTGACAACCACTTGGAAACCAATATCTATTTCAAGCCTACGTACTCCCACAGCTACCTAGAATACACCTCCTCTCACCCACCTTCCTGCAAGAATGCCATCTCCTATTCCCACTTCCTTCACCTCTGCCACATCTGCTCCCAAGATGAGGCATTCCACTCCCGGACATCCCAGATGTCCTCGTTTTTCAAGGACCGCGTCTTCCCCTCCACAGTGGTCGAAAACACCCTCGATCGCATCTCTCAAGTTTCCTGCAACTCATCCTTCACACCCCCTCCCCGCAATAACAACAAAAACAGAATCCCCCTCGTCCTCACGTACCACCCCACCAACCTCCAGATTCAACACATCATCCTTCACCACTTCCGCCACCTGCAATCTGACCCCACTACCAAGGGCATTTTTCCCTCCCCACCCTTATCTGCCTTCCAGAGGGACCGCTCTCTCCGTGACTCCCTCGTCCGCTCCACACTCCCCACTAGCCCCACCACCCCAGCACTTTTCCCTGCAACCGCAGGAAGTGCTACACCTGCCCCTACACCTCCCCCCTCAACCCCATCCCAGGCCCCAAGAAAACCTTCCACATTAAAACAGATGTTCACCTGCACATCTGCTAACATGGTATATTGTATCTGCTGTTCCCGATGTGGCCTCCTCTACATCAGGGAAACCAAGCAGAGGCTTGGAGACCACTTTGTGGAACACCTATGCTCAGTTCATGACAAACGACTGAACTTTCCAGTCGCGAACCACTTCAGCTCCCCCTCCCACTCCATGAACGACATGTTCATCCTGGGCCGCCTCCAGTGCAACAACGATGCCACCCAAAGGCTGCAGGAACAGCACTTCATATTTTGCTTGGGAACCCTGCAGCCCAAAGGTATCAATGTGGACTTCACAAGATTCAAAATCTCCCCACGCCCGACCTCATCCCAAAACCAGCCCAGCTTGTCCCTGCCTCCTTGACCTGTCCGTCCTTCCTCCCACCTATCCATTCCTCCCACCTCAACCCCCACCCCCACCTCCTACCTACCAGCCTCATCCCCACCTCCTTGACCTGTCCATTTTCCCTTGACTGACCAACCCCCATCCTAACTCCCCACCTACACTCATCTTTACTGGCTCCATCCCCGCCTCCTTGACCTGTCCGTCTTCTCTCCACCTTCCATCCGCCTTCCCCGCTCTCTCTATTTGTTTCAGAATCCCCTTCCCCTCCCCCATTTCTGAAGAAGGGCCCAGACCCGAATCGTCAGCTTTCCTGCTCCTCTGATACTGCTTGGCCTGCTGTGTTCATCCAACTCGACACCTTGTTATCTCAGATTCTCCAGCATCGGCAGTTCCTACTATCTCTCTCAGCAAAGAATCAACACCTGCTCGAAAGTAAAAATTGCAGATGAATTGATTTTGATACAGGAGATTGAATATTTTTAAAAGCAGAGGTGGATAGGTTCTTGTCAAACAAGGAGGCAAAAGGGTATCGGGGTGGGAGACAAAAAAAAATACGGATTCAAGGTTACAATCAGATTATCCATTTTATTGAATGGCAGAACAGACATGAGGGGCCAAATGGCCTACTCTTGCTCCTTGTTCATATGCCTGTATTTATGGGCACCTGTCAATGTGTATACTCATGTCTTTGCACTAATCTAAAAAACCTTGCTCATTAAAAAACAAACAAAAAATGTCTCAAAGCCAGATTTTTCAAACTGACATCCTGCAATCTCAGTATCAATGACAAATTAATTTTAAATCTGTCTGCCTTAACATGGTAGAATTCAAGACTATGAATGAATGACCATATGCACAGTGTAATTCTATTTATTGTTTTAACAAGGAAATTAACCTGTTACAATAAAAAGGTGCCAGTAGTAAGGAAGCACTAACAGAACATGATAAAGACTGATTTCTCCATTAAATACAGAGAATGTGAAATTAATACACAGATGACATGGTGGAAAACAAACTGAACATTAAAGAAACACCTACCTTGTTGACTTTTAGGATGATCTCCTGGCTCATTGGCTTTTTCATGTCCTTTCCCACCATGATGATCAAAAGGATTTGAAAAGGCTTGGCCAGCAGGGAAGTGTAGAGCTTGATTAGGTGGTGGCTGCATAGCAGGTTCCTTGGCTAAATGATGTATCGGTTTCCCTTGATGTTGTCTATCCAGAACTGCATTGATACAATAAAGCAAGAAAAACCACAATTAGGAGGAATTCATTTCTTAAGAGTTATTGTAAACAATTTCCACTTCAAAAATGGGAGGACATTTTTGTCAGAGATCAATTACGGAATAATAACTGTGCTCTTGTATTCCCTGCTGCACATGGACATCAAGGAAAGGGAAGTGTAAGTTACTGTCTTGCTATGCTCAATTCACCACTACTTCAAAGATAGAACACCAGTGGTAATGAGCTCTAACAGTTCCGATGCAGTTTGGTGGAATATTAGTCATCAAGAACAGATTTTCAAACACTAACTGATCTGAAGTCTAATATCTACAATTGAGGCATTCACATGTACACAAACAGCACGTGTGAAGCTTAAAGGTAATCACATCTCCAATTCCAGGTCAAGATCTGGCCATAGCCATAATTTGCATAATCGGAAGAGATTTACTTTCAGCCCTAACACCACAGTAGATGAGCAGCCAAGATGCTCTTTGCAGCTAATGCTAGAGATTACCTTCAAATGTAAAGATTAGCAAATGTCACCAGAACGTCAATTAGTATATATTGGAAAAAGCCCAAAGCAAGGAGGATTATAATCTACTCCTTAGATTCAAACAGTCTCATTAATACAAAGCTCCAATGCTTAGAACAAATTGCTTGAATGCCCAATTTAGATTTTAGGATTGTTGGAAATGTTTTTGTGATAATTACAATGTGGAGGTGCCACTGTTAGACTGACTGTCTACAAATTGTGCGCTTTTGAACAAAAAAAAAACCCAACTAGTCTGACTCCAGGTTAAAACAGAGACAGATTCTAAACAAGGCCTCACACCCAAATTGCATTGTCTGACTCAAGATGTCACCTCTTATATACAATGATAAAACCTTTATCTATCTCAGGGCAGTGACTTGAAAGAAATTCTGGGATTTGCATTTTAATCAAATCAAACCTGCATCTCCTTTCTAACCGATTAGAGATTTATCAGGAGGGAGTCAGCTAGCCATTTTTGGTTTATTCAATACATTCGCATGAGTTGTATGATCCTTTAATGTTTTACTTATAAATTCTGAATTGATACATCTTCTCACTACACCTGAAGTAGGAGCAATGCTGCTAAAGCTAACGTTTTCAAGTAAACCTGCTTGACTGTAACCTGGTGTCCTGTGATTTTTGAGTTTGTGATAATTGTGACAATTCGGTGTATGGTTAATGTTTGACAAGGCCACAACAGTTGACAGTCAGCACAATTATCTTCATTGAGGCACTACCAATGAAGTGACAACCTTCTACAAGCTAACTCAACCATCAAACTGTTCCTTAAAATGAAGCTAATATTATAATCCCAGCTGTCTTTTCCTGATAACCTTATTTCAGCTGCTGAGTGGCCTTCCATCTCAAAAAGCTGACTGACATGTTCAAGCCTATTTGTGCCAATAAGTATTGAAGACATTTTAAACTCATACCCTACATGTTGCATAAGAATGTTTCCATAACTGGATAATAATCAACATTATTACTGACAATTACTGAAAATTCCTGAGGCTATTTACCCATGAAATAGAAAGCAAAGTTTCACAGATGCAAAACTTTGGATGCTTTATGGCATGTCAAATCTCAAGGACCTACAGTAACTACATAAAGAATTTTTATTTTAAATTTTGTACAGTCTGCATCTCAACATGGGGAGTTGCCACGTGAAAGAGGGGATAGTTTGCTCAATTGGCTTGATTGCTAGCTTGCAGTTCAGTACAGTGAAAGTTCAATTTTTGTTCCAGCTGAGATAGACTTGGCACCTGCCTCCCTCCCCTGTCCCAGTCAGGGGAAAAGAATGGCAAACCACCAGAGAAAAACTGCAAAACACAATAGACACGATGATAATGAAAATTTGAGAGCTCAGATTTTCAACTGAAGTGTGTTTGACACAAGATAGAATTTTGCAGCCCCATAAGGATGATCACAGCACAGGAACATGAAGCTGGTACCACTATTTTGGTCCCTCTTGCCAGGTCCAATTCCCGAATGTGGCCATGCCAAAACAACACAGAGCAGACTTGTTTTATGTTGTTGAGAATGCCTGCTGCGAAATTGGAGGTGGTAGTTAGGGTGATATAGATGGCAATGAATTTGATTGAAATGTTGTGTAGGAGGTTCTACTACAGAAAAATGTGCACGAATAAGCACAAGTCAGGTTGCATCTGGGCAGTGCTTTCTATGGAAGGTTACTGTAGATCACTGCCACTGTCAGCTAGCTCATACTGACCCTATGAACTGTGACAACCATATTGTTAGAGCACGTTAGAAGCACATGCGTGTAAGTTCTAAAATAACTTACTTACCATTTCAAGGAGATAAAATACAAAACAATCCAAGAGGTTTGTATACCTACCTGGCTGGTGATTCTGAGATTCTCCAATTTCATCGGCTCTAACACGAAGATTTTCATCTTCTGCATTATTTGGCTCCTCTTGGTCTACAGGACTTGGCATATTTACTACAAGTGATCTCCCAGGTTTTACAATATTTTGTTCATTATCAAATGAATGAGCCTGGATTGGAGGGGGGGCCTGCATTGCTGGGCCCCTCTCAAAATGTCGGACAGGTTTAATTCCAGCCTCCATATTCAACTTTTCTCCAAGAATCCCACCAACCCTAGACCCAGGTTTCTCAATTTCTTCAAGCAGCAATTTGTTTCTCTTGTGATCTAAGAAAAAAAAATTAAGAAGATAATCATTTTCTACCTTACCATATACATTTAAGACTTTAATGTAACGAGTTAGTCCTTCTGTCACATAAACCACAACCGAAAGTTAAAAAATAAAAAAGGTGATATCCCAAGTCAACCTAGGCAGCACACCACAACTATCGCATTCAAAGAATGAGCAACAAAACAGCACAAAAACAGGCCCTTCGGCCTGCCAAACCCACACTGACATTCTGCTCTTCCATACCAAAACCGTCTTCACTTACAGGATCCGTATCCCTCTATTCCCTTCCTATTTAGGTATTCGTCCAGGCATTTCTTTAATGCTATCGCATCTGTTTCCTCTAGCAGCACATTTCAGGCACACACCATCCTTTGTGAACTTGCCTCACACATTTCATTTAATTTCCACCCCATCCACTGCACCTTGAAACTGTGTCTCCTAGTCGTTAACCCCTCCACCCTGGGGAAAAGCCTCACACTTTCCACTCTATCCATGCCATTCACAATCTTATAAACATCCATCAGGTCTCCCCTCAACCTCCTGCATTCCAGTGAAAACAAACACAGTCTATGTAATCTTTTGTCATAGCTAAAATCCCCCACACCAGGCAACATCCAGGTAATTTTTTTTTCCTGTACCCTCTCCAAAGCATCCACATCCTTCTGGTGGTGTGGTGGCCAGAACTGTACACAATAATCCAAGTGTGGCCAAACTAAATTTCTGTAAGCTTCAGTGTAACTTGCCTAGCCTTACACTCAATGCCCCTTCCAATGTAGGGGAGCATGCCATAGGCATTTCCTTTTAAAATTAAAAACAGCCTTACCTACCTGAGCTACCACCTTCAGTGATCTGTGGACCTTCACACCCAGATCCCTCTGCATATCAATATTTTTAAGGGTTCTGCCATTCACTGGATAAATTTCCACCTGTACTTGACCTTCCAATATGCATCACCTCACTTTGTCCAGATAAAACCCCACCTGCCATTTTGCTGCCCGTGCTTCTATATCATGCAACTGATCTATATCCTGTTGTATCCTCTGACAATTCTGCTCACTATCCACAACATCAATCTTTGTAACATCCACAAACGTATAATTAGATCTGCTACATTTTCCTCCAAATCATTTATGTAGACCATGAGCAGCAGAGGTCCTAGCACCGATCTCTGTGGAACACCAGTTACGGCCCTCCATTCCAAAAAGCATCCTTCCACTTCCGTCTCCTACGACAGAGCCAGTTCAGAATCCAGCTTGACAGCTCATCCCAATATCACGTGACTTCACCTCTTGTACCAGTCTGCTATGAGAGACCTGGTCAAAGGCTTTACTGAAGTCCACATATGTAACATCAACCACTTTTCCCTCAGTAGTCTTTGTCACCTCAAAAAACTCAATTAGTGAGGCAAGATCTCCCCCGCAAAAAGTCATGCTGTGTATAACTAATACGTCCATTTGCTTCTCAACTCCTTTGATGCTGCCTTAGACTTGGAAACCTAAACCTCAATTGTCAATTCTCCAGATGACAGAACTATGTCAGATTATAGGTAGAAGTAATAGGTTTAGGTTTGTGGGTTTGCGAAAAAGGCCTGACTTGCATTTCCCGAACCCAGCACAGAAGTCCAGCCCACCAACACTGGATAATAGGGTGACAAACAAACAATTAGACAGGGGCACAAAATGATATTAAGACTTTTATGGATAGATAAATCAGATGTGTTGAATTGTCTTCTTTACAAATATCTTGTGATCTTATAAAGACAACATGAATTCCTTTTATGGTTTAATAATGTCACCCACTTCTAAAATATTACCACAAGGTGGCACTGCAAATGCAGTTTTTTGTACCAATGGCTTATGCATGAAGCTGCATCTGCTGACACGCAAGGGCACACAGCAGATAATGTCAAACAAGTTTTTTTTAAATATCAATTAAAAGTTAGCAAAAATAAAAAGCATTAATTAAGATTATATAGATAAAAAAATCAGGGTAGTTTTTTTTCTAAAAAGTTTTGCATTTACAGAATTTTTAACAACGGTCTGCAGTCTGTAATTATGGGCGGATCATTGGTGTCAGCAAGTTTTGGCTAGTTTTTGTAACGTTCCAGTCACTGTCACTTGCCAATTTGTTCTCATTAGGTGGTTTCAAACAGATAGACGATGCAGCATGGTTGACAGCTTTTGCAAGCCATGCCTTGAGCAGCAAGATGCAGGATCTGATCTATCCTCCACTCAATGGCCAGTTATGGAAGTCTGTTTTTGCGTGCATGTGCGTGCATCTTACAACAATGATACCTATGTCACCCATTGACCAGTTTCCACTCTTAGAAAGGGGTGAAAAAGGCAGAGCCACCACACTGGATAGTCCAACTATAGTCACACAGTTAGCTTCCTGGTGTTTATAAGCATAGCAAAATGAGAACAACAAAAATTGTACTTCCAAACGTTAAACAGTCTGGGGAAAATCCAGCTCATTCTGAATCATATAATCAGGAAGGGGCACATGAAGATGTAGAACTTTGTACACTTACCCCTCGTCCACCATCTAAGCACACTTGAAAGCATATGAATGGTATTCTGGCTCCCTCATTATACATACCAATCAAAAGATCCATCGGTTTGGCATGTTCATTTTCTTCTATCCCAGGCATACCAGCATCATCATCCGTTTTACCTGGATCTGTAAAAACATTGAAGTTATAGCAGCACAAAGAAATACAATTGGCGTTTAAAAGCAATAATTTAGTTGCAAAACTTTGATCAACCTAAAGGGGTTTGTAAAGTACAAATATTTGCTTTTGGAATGTAGGTGATGCCAGCCCATCCACAATTGGCCTGAAGATGCAAATAAGAATGCATAGAGAAGTTGCTACAGCTTAACAACGGAAAGAAATGAAGGCTTTGAGCAGAGCAAACCACAGAGGGAAAGAGGGAGGTGGTTTCATTTGACAGGTTTTTCCCTCACATTCTACCAAGGAATGCCTCGTTAAAAACATCAAGTTATCAAGTTGAATGCAATTATGAACAGACATGAACTTAATAGAAATAAAACCTCTTCAAAAAGGATAAAATGTTTGCCAACAGGATCCCAATTTTCCTGAACTGGGGAAAAAAAAAAAAATCAGTTTTCATTTGGGTCACCACTTAACAGCAGGGATAAATGTAGTAAGGTTAAAACATTGCAAATAATCAAAAAAAATTTTGGATTGAAATCCAAAAGGTCAAGAAGCACAGATTATGCAAGAGACAAAAAATACTGGCAAGTGGTGCGACAAGATAAATGCAAAGTAATCAGATTACCTAAAATCTTATTGAATGACACAGCAGGTTCGAGGGGCTAATGGCTTATTTCTGCTCCTTGCATATGAACATTAGAGTTGCAACTGAAAACAGCTGGTCCATTGAGGCCATGCCTCAATGAATTTTCACTTGTAGAAGTCAGACTAGCAAGCAGTAAAATCTAGCGGGAAAAGATTGAAGTGCACTAATAAAAGTTAGGTAGAACAAAGATGATTAGAATATGCATAGTTCACATTTATAGATCAAGGGGTCATACTTAACTGAATTCTTGAAGGGAACATGGACTTGGGTTAGGTGAAACAATCTTCAAACAGTAGTCATTTGAAACCAAGGGTACTGAGACAGACTTAAATGGATTAACATTCATTCATGAACCCCCAACTGGTTCATGAAGTGTTCCTCAAGGAAGGAAATTTACCAACCTTACCTGATCTGGCCTAAATGTGACACATGCTGACTTCCAAATGCCCTCAAATGGCAGAGCACGCCACTAATTGAACCAGAAACTGCTAAAAGGCCTCAAGAAAGAAATAAAACATGCAGCCTGCTCTAGGAAGGATGGTAGTAAATTGGAAAGGGTGCAGAAAAGATTTGCAAGGATGTTGTTGGGACTGGAGGGTTTGAAATATAGAGGAGAGACTGGATAGGCTGGGATTTTTCCTCCCTGGAGCATAGGAAGTTGAGGGGTGACCTAATAGAAATTTATAAAATCATGAGGGGTATAGATAAGGTGAATAGCAAAGGTCTTTTCCCTAGGGTGGGGGGAGTTCAAAACTCGCGAGCATATTTTTAAGATGAGAGGAGAAAAATTTGAAAGGGAGCCGAAGAGCAACATTTTCCACACAGAGGGTGGTTCATATATGGAATGAACTACCAGAGGAAGAAGTGGTAGAGGCAGGCACAGTTACAACATTTGAGACACATTTGGACAGGTACATGAATAGGAAAGGTTTAGAGGCACACGGGCCAAACACAGGCAAATGGGACTAGTTCAGTTTGGGAAACCTGGTCAGCATGGATGGATTGGACCAAAGGGTCCGTTTCCGTGCTGTAAACTTTATGACAGTTTGTCACCAAGCTAGGCATAAAAACTGTAAACCTCAACCCAAAATCAACGTTGCAATGAGCTCCTTACCAACATCTAAAAGCCAATACTAACATTGGGACAGCTGTCTCAGACTAATCAAGAACCATCTCATACAGATATGACATAAGGGATGGCCATTTGGGCATGTATGTGCATGCCCAAAGATCTCTCTGCATTAATCCCATTCTCCAGCTCTTGGTCCATGGCCCTGGAGATTATATCAATGTAAGTAAACAGGTAAGTACTGTTCAAATAGTTTGAGTCTTTGACTTAACCACATTCAGGCAGCAAATTCCAGACTCCCACCACAAATTTTTTTTTATCCACTTTTCAATTAGCCTTCTCTATCTTTTAGATTAAACCCATGGTCCTTGGTTATTGATCCCTCTACTAATAGGAAAAGCGTCTTAAGATTGACAGGCATATGGTGAATATTATGTAACTTAAATCAGGACCCCAGTCAACTTTTACCAGTCTGACACTCATACTCAGAAACATGCCTCAGACCTCATCCCAGACTCATCCAAACGAAGCAAGAGCCGGACATTATCCAGTTTTGAGTTACTAAGTGGCAAATAATTTTTGCACTAGAGAAGTGATAACAGGCAGTGACCATACAGTCCGAATTCAACAGCACAGAACAGGTCCTTCAACACATCAAGTCTGAGCCAAACTACATACACGAACCCCACTTTCCAGCACTCAGCTCAGAGCTTTGAATGTTATCCCATTTCAAATGGTCATCCATATACTTTAAGAAAAGGGTTTGGTTTTTTTGCCTCAACTACTCTCCCAGGCAGTGCATTCCAGACAACCAGCACCCTGAAAGAAATAAAAAGTCCTCAAATCTGCTCTAACTTATCTGTCCTTCACCTTATAATTATGGCCTCTCGCTATTGACCCTTCAACTAAGTGCAGC